AATACCAAAGGCGACAGGGGAGCACAACCTTTTTTAGTCTACGGAAAGTAAACTAGGACATAATCACAACGCGTAGAGTAAAATAGGTTTATGCAGCTAAGCACAGATAGAAGTGAAAAAAAATGTGGAAAATAGTAACAAGCAGCCTTGAAATAATGTGAAGCTGAATGCGGATAGACTGCACTTAAATACAAGAAAGGCATGAGAGTAGACGAAAAGTAGAAAAGCTGGAGAAATTATAAATGTAACTGTGTGGGTACTCCAAAGCGTAAGCCGCAATCCGTATGTTACTATGGGTGAAGTGGGACCTCATTCGCGTCACTTGAATGCTCAAAAAACAAAACAAGGAAGGACTAACCATATACATTGCTAAAGCAAATGATCCTTGAAACAAAACAGTACCCGAGAGCACCAATAATCCCACTCAAACTGCAATTTTAACGGAGTTTCAGGTAAGTGCATTGAAAACTTTACCCAGCCAAAACCAAAACTTCCTTAGAGGGAGCGTGATTTAGGAAGGATAACAGTTCGGCTAACAATAAGCACAGATATTACCTTTTCATAGTGGAAAAGCCATGTCGGAATTAGATCCATTTAAATGAACCTAATACGATCTATCGATAGCACTGCAATGATAGTTCAAAATATCCGTTCATTCATAGGGCTAAATTGAGATAATATTCCAATTTCCAAAGCATGTGCATGCTATTTAGGAGCCACCAAATGCCATAATAATGTGCGCTTGCTTGATGCAAAGATACAAGGAGATTGAAATAAAACGATGCACAACGCCCTATCATTTTCAACACAAAAGTTTAGAAGCTGTAGTTGTCATGGACAGATGACACCGATCCTTTATCAGTTTACCGAAAATTATGCCACATTTCGCACGACAAATAGGTTAGTTAAGTTATAACCCATAACACTAATTAGAGATGTTATTAGGGTGCAAACAAACACACATCTTTTGGAACTTTCGAAGTAGTAAAACGTATCACTTTTGAGGTGTGTTCATTTGTTTTCGTCTGAGACTAGTAGTAAAAGCATTAAGGAAGTCTGCTCATCGTGGAGCCTCATTGGCTTCCTCGACGAAAGGCATTTTAGAAAGGCAACACTTTTTTGCCACCTCATCGGTTGGTCCGAGCCGACCTAATTTGAATGAGCAAATAGGTTCCGTACAAAATGCAGCTGGCATACTTCTCTATCTAAAATACGGCTTTGAATTTAAAAAAAGGTTCCAATGTCAACTCAACACTATGGTATTACGTAATTGGTTCAAATGTGTATCATTGGCGAATGAATCAAGAAACGAAACTTTAGGCCAATAAAGGGGATAAAAGAGAATTGAGTAGACTCACCGAGCCTCCTTAACAGCAATTGCATAGTCTGGTTCTGGCAATTCATCCTCCCAATCGAGCACTGAGTCCTTCAGCTTCCCTCTAAACATATTAACATGAAAACCAGGCGAGGTAAGCCCGCTCACCCGCATGGCCGAACACGCGTCTTCATTTTCGTGCATACTGCTCCTGTTGGCTTGAGACCGAACGTGGGGACTATTTTTGTGGAACGCACATAAACAGTTCCACAAGAAGCACATTTCTCCATGAATACATCACCGTGGAGAATGGATAGACGGTTTCTAGGAAAGCCTGAGCGTAGGTGCAATCCGTCAATATTCTGTGTAATCACGAAGTTTATATAGCCTGCTCTTTCTAGTGCCACAAGAGCCATGTGTCCAACAGAGGGTCGAGCCTCTGTGAATGATTTACTGAAAGCCGGTTTCCTACCCCTTTTTTCAAGGGTCCATACACCTTAAAGGAAAAAAATAACAAGTAAGACGAGTCGATACCATTGGGTCCTCGAAAATCAGGAATCCCTGAGGAGGTGCTCAAACCTGCTCCGGTGTGGACGACGGTGTATGAGGAGTGTCGCAAAAGATCAGTTAGAACGGATACCTTTTGCTCAAAAATGTAGTCCGGATCACGTACTTCAGGAATCCCACAAACGCCCTTATTTTCGTATTCAGAGAGTGCCGATGCGTAATCCAGTGACATGCTCACTACAAAATAATTTTCGAAAAAAAGGTTAATTAATGGTTAATATAGAGAGTACAAAACGGATGCAAAATCAAAATCCAAACTTTAATAAACAGTACATCCTCAATAGGTTCATGAAGAGCGAAAATTTTAACGACCTAAACAATCTTAGGTAGAATGTTATAGTACGCGCTACTACTCTTTACACAGGGGTAATATAAGTGCATCAAAGAGATGGCGTCAAGTCAAAGGCCGCTTGAGCAAAATCTCAAAGACTTATGGAGTATAGACACCACTTCCCTCAATTGCTGGGTGCAGTCCTACAGATCAAAGATCTAACGACAAAGAAAAGCCGATGAACAAGACAGAACAGAGCAAGATCGATCCACGATAACAACCAATTAAATTAACAGAACGATAACCAAACCAGGTTCAACTGCAGGATGCTATCATGTAAGGTTTGGTAAGTATGCTGACTAAAATTCTTGTCAAAAGATTTATCTCCCAACTTGGAGGAAATAAAGATGTTGTCGAATGCGTACTACCAAGGAGCAATCCGAAGATGCAAATATGAATTCTAACCTCTACTGGAGAGGTTATTTTTTGGTGACGATTTAACCTAGTACATTCGATAATATGAAGATAATTACCTTTGAGAGCTCTATTTTTCCTGTCCAGTCAGTTCTCCGGATGACGCAGGAACCAGGCTTTTAGTGGTAAAATTGGTGCAATAAACCAATCATGGGTGAGACCTGTACTTGGCATCCAATGGTTAATAAAGGAGTCAACAACTCGGATATTCATTCTCTCCTGGCAGCCGTTTTTCTAACTCTCTGCGATTTATTTATTTACAAGACTTTTATGCGGAACTTCAAAATCTGGAGCATTATATAGATAGTACCGGACATAAACTCTTCAGTCCTACTGTATTATTAGGTCGTCGACGATCTCAAACATCATCATTCCTTTCCTTTTTTGCCGCCTATCTTTGTGTGCGTTTGCACAACTTCATATGTCCGTCGCGCCTCCTTATCTACCTCTTCTGATAATTTTTTTGTCAGAACAACAAATAAATAATCCTGAATCCGTCTAGTGGTGACCCTTTTGTACTTTTCTGCTTATTTGTTCACGCTTGACTTCCCTTGTGAATATTTTTCAGAGGAGCATTGTTCAGCTCTGAGTGCCTTACTCGAAAAATTGTTTCGACCATTCGTAATTCAGTCTGTTGAAAATGTCGGTGGCCAACATCGCAATGGACTTGATCAGGAGCGTTAAGCGCAGCCCCCCGCATCGGCTTGCACCCTACGAGGATGACAAGGTCCGCCGTTGTATGGAAGAGATGCGAAAGCTTTATGAGGAGAATCGTCAGGATGTGCTAAGTCTTCGGCTGCCCTCTCAAAGTTCCAGCTCAACGGATGATAGCGCCGCTCTGATTGATAGTGAAAATATCGTGCAAGCTGTCGTCATCCGACACGCTACAATGGAACGCGTGAAAAGATGCCTTCTAGCCTATCATCATGCCCGTCTCATGCAAATTAAGGAGATCCGTTGGCAGTACGGTGCTGGAGTACCTAAAGGTGAGTGCGAGTGCTCATTTCATTCTATCATATTTATATCTAATTGTAGCTGCGCAGACTCAATTTTACGGCCCAATTATGATAAGTTCAAGGCAGTACTTTCTTGGTATACCGATTGAGTTAGGCCTTTGGCTGTCTAGTGCCCTCTCTGGTCGCACTGTCCTCTTTTGCGGTCCATAATATTCTTGTTAGTCTGTTCTTCTTACTGGCAACATTGGTAATAAATTTTCTGGATTAAGCTTCTAAATTCACGCCTTTGAATGCAATATAATGTCTTGTCACTGCATCTTTATCGTGAAAAGAAGCTGAGTCATCCAAGGGACATCGGTATGCACAAACTTGCCTTATGCACGCCAAAGTATGCGTTTCGACTCAATGTTGTTCCATACTATTCTTAATCGCAACTACTCAATCGTTTGCTTTTGGTGCCGGCATGAGTGATTCAACGTTCAAACCAGAGTAAACTCTTGTTCTGGAAATAATGAACAGAATTATCACTGGGCCTCTGGAAAATGGAACTTGCCACCATGCGTTGGGGCTGTAGCAGTCT